AAAAAAAAATCCTTGCTATTTTAAGAAACTAGGTTTGGAGATGATTTTTATGCAGGAATAGATAATTGAAATAGGCATCTTAAGATTCTCCCCCCAACCCAAGGAAGGAAAAAAAAAAAAGAGGTTAGAGTGGGAGAGAGCCAAAGCATAAGAGACTCTTAAAAACTGAGAACAAACTGAGGGTTGACGGAGGGTGGGAGGGAGGGGGTGGGTGATGGGTACTGAGGAGGGCACCTTTTGGGATGAGCACTGGGTGTTGTATGGAAGCAAATTTGACAATAAATTTCATATATTGAAAAAAAAAAAAGAAAAACAAAACAAAAGACTCTCCCCCCCCAACCGTGTGTGTGTGTGTGTGTGTGTCTATGTGTGTGTCCAATGGCTAGATGCCTAGGTTTCTACACCCTCTCTTGGTACCATCTTCTATTATTGGGTGCCTCCTAATTTTATTCCAAAGGACCAAGTAAATACGTTCTACAAAATGTTTGTAACAATATGAGGGAGTATTATGCCAGTAATTGTGGGGGCCATATATTTAAGACCTGTATTCAGATTTGTTTCAAGCAAGAGGGCATATACTATTGCATGCTTCTTACTGGAGTACAGGATGGAAAGATGCTGTTGGAAAGCATTTCTTCATGTGGGGTTTCAGAATTTTGTCCTATTCATGATGCTAGTTAAAGAAGTAGTCACTCATTGACATTTGTGTATGTGCGCATGTTTCTAGAAAATTACAGTCAAGCCTAAGGGAATGCTCATTAAATATTAACTAAGATCTTAATAGCTTAAATTTTAAAGAACAAGTCTCTGACAATATTCATCTGAGGACACAAAAGTGCTCTGGATTTGATGACTGAAGTTCATCAAATGGGAGGAAATTAATCCAAAGCATCATCTCCAGAAAGCCAGGGGCCAAAGGATGGCCACGGATGCTTAGGATTCCTATTAGGTGGATCTAACAAGTGCTTATTTTATACCCAACCAGCCCTAAAGGTATATTTAAAAAGTAATCCAGCTGACTTACTCTAAGTTGTTTTTACCAAAAAGGCAAACCTAATGAATGAATATGAAGGACTTTCTCCCCAGAATTATGCACATATCCAGGTCTTGCAAACTTTGGCCCATCATGGACCCCCGAGGGGTCCTCTATCGAGGTGGTACGTTAGCTCCCTCACCACTGGAGACAGGCACTCTGGTGCAGCCTTCATCCCAGAAATGTTTTCATTCATAGTCCTTCATCACTGGCTCCCACAGGAACATAAAACCTCACTGTGATTCATCCCACTCTCTGGCATAGACTAATGAAAGAGAGCATATAATGAAGCACTGTAATACTCTCTTAATGCTGTATGTACCTTAACAAATACCAGCAGAGAGAAACATAATTTATAATCCAACAAACCAGATGTGTATTTTCAACCAGTTCTTGCCCATATACTTACAGTCCTGACCATGCACTTCAAATTTCATTTCTATTTCTGTATTTTGTGCCCTAGGCAGGATGGCTCCTTGTTTACACAAGTTTCAATATTGTTTTAGCACTTTCTGGTCCTTTTCCATACCTTGTGACTTTTGAATATGCTTGCTGGCTTTGAAGGCCCAAAGATACCAAAAAGAGTTACAGTTCAAAAATCATTAGACACTGCCCTTTGGGGAGATGGAATATAATCAAACTGCTCATTCCTCACATATCTGTCTCAACATTTAATCGTTTATTCACAAAAAGATTAAGTTGTAAAAAATATTATTTTTGGGAGGGGAACATGTGACATTCAGAAGTAGACTTGAGCTCTATTTTCAGAGAACTCTGTTGAGACTGTTAAAAACAATAGTTTTCCATTAATGAGCCCTACTTCATGCCAGATTCTTGGCTAAGTCCTTTATGTATCATCTTGTTTAAGCCTCACAGCAATCCAACTGAAGAAACATGGCAAACTGGCTAGCGGCTCATCAAACTAGCTTCCCCTTGCTCTGGGTACACAGTTCAGTCACTTTCCCAGCCTCCTTTGCAATTAGATGTCACCATGTGACTGACTTCTGGCCAATGGAATGTGGAAGAAAATAAGGAAAGCATCTTGGAGGCTTAGTTCATGCACTCTTAACCCAGGGTTCCACGCTTTCTCATTTTCCTCGCCAACTGGTTGATTACAGAGATCTGCAGAGCAGAAAGCAGAGCTACTAGAAGGAAGGAACATGCGTTACTTAACTGCTACACAGGATGCCACTCTCAGAATACCTACAGTGAACCATTATGTGAGCAAGAGATAAACTTCTATTTCCTGATTCACTGATATTCGGGGGTTATTTGTTGCAGCGGTTAAAGTGTACTGAAAGTACTTTCATGAGCATAGAGAGGTTAAGTAATCTACTCAATAAGTAGAAAGAGACGGCAGATTTGAATCCAAGTGTCTTATCTCTAGAAACCATTTTTTAAAATGTTTATTTATTTTTGAGAGAGAGACAGAGTGCAAGCATGGGCGGAGCAGAGAGAGAGGGAGACAGAATCCCAAGCAAGCTCCAGGCTCCAAGCAGTCAGCACAGAGCCAGACGCGGGATGCGAGACCATGACTGAGCCAAAGTCGAACGGCCAACCAACTGAGCCACCCAGGCACCCCTCTAGAAACCATTTTTAACTGTTATTCAATTATATTCCCTTTTTGCAAGTTCATTTTTATCATATGTCACACAAACTTCACCTATACCTAATTAGACTATATATGAGAGAGGTGGCTGGATGATGGTCCAAAGTTGGCAACAAAGAAAACGTAATTTTTCAAATAAATAATATGATTTCCTATCTCTATTAACCATGTAAGAGAGAGGCCATGCTACTCACACAACTTTGCAGGATATTTGTTACTTTTTGAAAGTTTATCCTCAGAGGTTCTTGGGTAGTTAATTTTAACTCTCTACAACAAATTACCTCAAAGACCTGGTGACTTAAAACATTTAGCACCTCTCTCAGTTTCTATGGGTCAGGAATTCAGGAGAGGCTTAGCTCAGTGGTCTTCTATGAGGTTGCACACAAGATGTCGGTGGGGGCTGCATCATCTGAAAGTGTGACATCCAAAGCAGCTCATTCACTTGGTGGCCAAATTGGTCTGCTTGTTGGCAGGAAGTCTCACTTTCTCCCCACAGGGTTGTGTGACTGCCCTCACAACATGGTGGCTTATTTTCCCCAAAGCGAGCAAGTCCACAAGCCAAGGGCAATGTTGCAAGGCCTTATTTGATCAGTGTTCAAAGTCATACTCCATTATTTTTGCAATAGCCAATTGATCACATTGGGATCAATACTGGGTTCCCCTAGGCAGTGAAGGGACTACACAAGGCAGTGAATACCAGGAGGCAAGGGTCACTTGGAGCCATTAGGGAGGCCAGGTACCACAAGAGCCCATTCATTCATCCAACACAAATATACTGAGTGCCTATGAGGACCTGGGGACAAAGCCGTGGACAAAACCAAGTCCTTGCATGCATAAAGCATACATTATAGTGGAGGTCAGAAAGGCAAAATTTTAATGAGGAGGTAAACCATGTAGCATGCTAGGAAGAGGTAAGTGCTACAGAGAGAGAAAGCAGGAGTCGTGGGAAGGGGAATGCTGGAGTTGGGACTGTAGGCAATTCTAAACAGAGAGATCTAGGCAAGCCTCACTTAGAGGGCCTAAAAGAGGTAAGAAAGTATACCATGAAGTTACAGGGAGGAAGACTCGTCCAAGTACTGGGACAGCAACTGCAAAGGCCTTGAGGTGGGCATGTTTGCAACGAAAGGCAAGGCCGTCAAGATGGCCATAGGAATGAACTGAAGGAGAAGGCTGTAGATGAGATGAGGTAAGTAAAAGAGGCAAGAGCAGAGTCTGTGTGGGACCTTCTAGGCTCTTGTAAGGGCTCTGACTTTCACCAAGTGAAGTGGGAAGCCAGTGGATGGTGCTTAGCAGACAATTGGTATGATCTGACTTAGCACTTAAAAAAAAAATCTCACTCTGGTGACTAATATCAAAATAGAGAGGCCAAGGGTGGGAGAAGAGAACAAATCAGGATGCTCTTGTAAATATTGAGACAAGAGATGATGACGGCTTATGTTAGAGTGTTATCAGGTGCAGACAAGTGGTGAGAAGTGGTCTGACTGTACATTTATTTTGCAGGTTATCTAGCACAATTAGATCACCATTCTAGCAGAGTTTTCATTTAGGAGGGGCAGCATTTTTAAAATTATTTTTTATTATATCTCATCACTGTGGCTCTCAAATGGTGTTCTAGGAGACCCTATGAATTCTGAGAAGCTTCTTAAGAATTTGCTAGTGGGAACTAAGATGGGGCAGATGTAATGAAGCTTCATGGCCCCACTCTAGTTCTGTAAGGATAGCTCTGTGTTGACATAGTTTATTATGTACGATGAGAGACATCTTTTTAAGAAAGACCAGAAACCCCAATGCCCTAAAAGAAAACAGACTCCCCCTCCAACACACACACACACACACACACACAATGAAAAAATACACCATTTAGAAAACTGGAACGTAAACACAGTAGGAAAAACATCTGCACTACAAGATAAAAATAGTTTACTCTCCCTAGTATTAAAACCAACCAAGCAACAAACAAACCTGAAATTTATGAGAAGACAATCAAGTGAAAAATGGGTAAAGGGCATTTTGTAAATGAGGGTCAAAAGGGTACCTCTTCATTGGATTGTTGTGACCATACATTGACAACCCACATCAAGTGCTTAGCATAGCTCCTGGTACAGAAGAAAGGCTCAACCAGTGCTGCCCATCACAACCGCTACCATAACAACCACTGTTGTTGCCCTACTCTCCATCTGGCCAAAGCTGCCATGACAAGATGACCGTCACTAACACCACCACCATTATTAGCAGCTTCATCAGCATCATGGTGTAAAAGTCATTAGCAATGGGAACTTGCAACTACCTTGAATGCCATTTCCAACTCAAGTCCCCCCAAAGTAAATTCTTCACTCACAGTAACCAATAGTATATTACCTTTTCGTGATTTTCTATGAGGATCTCAATGACAATGTTCTGAAACTTGATATCCATGATGGCTGCTACTGTTTCTTCCTGAGGACGCAGTAGGGTGGGTCCAAACACCACGCCGAGGTTTGCCACTGTCATCAGATTCTGCTTGTGGTTATTAGCGACACTGGGAGGAAGGAAAAGAAAAGGCACAAATGAGAGAAAGACTGTACAAATAGATAGCTGACTTCCCGGTGCCTTCCCCTATCTTCAGACTCCTCATCTGGCCGGAGTCAGACCCTGGGACATCTTCAGATATCAAGTCCAAAGAGAGACTTCTCTACTTGTATTTTTGTCCCCCAGAGTTTTAGAAATCTTCAGTATTCAGGCTACTTTGCTCTTTCAGGATATGACATTCCTTTACACATTTCTGTTTTGCCTACACCAACCAACCAACCAACCAACCAAAGCAGCTGCCCTCCAAAATGTGAAACTTTGCACATCTGAATCCCTGCTCTGCAAATCCAGGTAACTGCTAAACTTTCTTAATTATGAATTTTATACTTCGCTGCTGCTTAAACTCCTGTGGTGATCATTAGCATTTTCTCTAGTGCAAATATAAAAACTCTTGATGGCTTTCATACATTTGCAAACAAGGCACAAGAGAAACCTAATTTTATTTTATTTATTTTTAATGTTTATTTTTGAGAGGGAGAGAGAGACAGAGTACAAGTTGGGGAGGCAGCAGAGAGAAGAGAGACAGAGACAAAGACACAAGAGAGACAGAATGCTTTGCAGGCTCCAGGCTCTGAGCTGTCAGCACAGAGCCCAATGTGGGGCTTGAATTCATGAACTGCGAGATCATGACCTGAGCAGAAGTCAGATGCTCAACCGACTGAGCCACCCAAGTGCCCCCAAACAGACTTATTTTTAAACAATGGATAGATCTTACGAAGTCCAGCACTTTAGGCTCAAAGTATTAAACTCCATCACATAAAACATATGGCTTTCATTAAGCAAAACATGTGGCACAAACAGAAATAAAAATGCACCACTGTGTATATCCATGTATATGGCTGTGTTTATATTGTCACTTATACTCAAAGTCTAAGAACACACAGGGTCAGCAGTAGCTGGGTCTGAGTAATCTGCTAAATACATATACTTAGTTTTGGATAAGTACTACTCAAAACATGTATCTGATCTTCATACCCCAGCCACCATGACCTAGCCATAAAACTTAATTGTTCATTTGCTGGCCTTGCGTATAAAAATATGCAAATGATCTACAGGCAACAAATAAGTTAAAAGTTAGGCTCAATTTAGTACTGTTAAGAAAATATTAGGGGCTTCACTAAATCACCTGTTAGAAAAAGGAAACTATTCATTACTAGCAACTAGAGAGAAATTGGTCACAGATAGTAGTTTGCACAGACATACCTCCCTAGCATTTAGTGCTATTTATACAGAGTATTTTTCACACAATTCTATAAATGCCTGCACTGTTTCTCTTGAATACTTCTATTTGGTAGGAGGAGAAGAAGTTCTACTGCCTTCAGTGCTGGTTGTGAAACTGAGCCTTCACTGAAATTACTATGTCAACCAATTTTATCAGCAGATGTGTACTTTTCTATAATTTTCCAGGGCTAAAAGTCTAATTTCATAAAAACTTTCTCTGCTGAAAGGGGCAGGAAGGGTCGTTAGGTCAGTGAAACTTTTAACCGTGGAATGGTCCAGATACGAAGAGAATTTGCTTGCTGACTGTTAAGCAAGGTCAGTGGCCACTGGTATCTTGGCCTGTTTCTGGTCCACATAAAAATATTCTGCGTTTTTTGAGTTGTAGTGCTGTGTCTCCATTTTACTTACACACTTCCCAGGTACGCATCATGTTTCTGAAAGCATTAATGCTCAGGGTCAAGTTCTTACCTGGCAAGGGCAAAGATTCCGGTTCTGTGCCTCAATCAATAAGTATGCATATCTACAAGCTGCTTGTAACATCACTTCTTTCAACATGGGCTCTTGGGTGCAGGAAGTGAATTCCATGCCCTTATTCTTCCCCCTCCCAAATGAACAAAGCCATTAGACTTACCCCTCCTGCCACAAAAGTCCCTTGTGCAAATGAGTCAACAAGATATTTATGTATCAAAGTACTTTTATTTTTTTTTATTTTTTATTTTTTTTTTTTTAATTTTTTTTCAACGTTTATTTATTTTTGGGACAGAGAGAGACAGAGCATGAACGGGGGAGGGGCAGAGAGAGAGGGAGACACAGAATTGGAAACAGGCTCCAGGCTCCGAGCCATCAGCCCAGAGCCTGACGCGGGGCTCGAACTCACGGACCGCGAGATCGTGACCTGGCTGAAGTCGGACGCTTAACCGACTGCGCCACCCAGGCGCCCCTCAAAGTACTTTTAAATTGTAGACCAATATAAAAACATATGGTTTGGATGATGATTTTTTTTTTTAACCACCGTGCTTCTCAGCACTACCTCTGACTAAAGCAACAGCCTCCTAGCCAGGATCCCTGACTAGCATTTCCACAGTCAGGTTTATCCTGACTGCTACCACCAGTTACTGTCTATAACTCAGCCCTGATCAAGTCATTCCTCTGCTGACAACTACAGTGGCCCCACACCTCACTGGGAAAGAACACAGTGAACCAGTGTGCATAAAGTGTTTAGTTAGCACTTTTGCACTTGTTCTGATAATAATGATTATAAGCCCTCGATGGGCTCCAATGTCTTTAATGTAAAGGCCAGACTCTAGTGAAGTAACACACCTTTCCCCAACTCACCTCTAAGCCCTTCTCTGCCGCCTGCTTGCTCTGGGTCAGTGGACAAGTGACTCAATGTCTAAGCTTTGGGCTCATCTTTGAAGATTGGGGAGGGGGGAGGTAAACAATACAACTACTTCATGAGGTGGCTATAGAAATTAAATATGGTACCATGTGGGAAACGTAGTGATTATTATTATAGTAATTCACTATCCATCCTCTTCCCACTTTCATACCTATCTGTCGTTGTCACTCCTCTGCCTAGAATGTTCTCTTGCACTTCACAAATGCGCCCCCTTCCTTTCTGCAGTCTCTGTCCGGTCTTCCCCCAATCCTCCTCCTCCTCTCAACCAAGGCAGAAGTATTATCTTTATTACAAGTTGTTAATGTCTCTACTGCTGCCTTAGGATCAAGACTGTGCACTTACTTTACTTGGTAACGCTAGCACTGAGCACAGTGCCCAGGAGAAGCCCAATGAACGTTCATGAGATGTGAAATGGGATGTTTCTGGGTACACATAAAACAACTGTTCCCAATCCAGCTACTTACTCATAAAACCTCCAACTATTACTGATGACTTTTTAGGGGGACTATATCTCAACTATCCCAACCTCACTTTCCAAAGTCTGGAGCTGTGTTCCATTTCTTAGGTTTAATTAACAAATAACAATTACTCTAATTTGCAGGCCCCAATGCCCAAAGGCATTAGGAAGAAAGGTACAGTAACTCTAGATAAGCAACTCTGAATATAAATAGGCTTGAGGCTACCCAACATAATTCATTTCCTTTTTAGTGATCCATTTTATTTTAAAACTTGAACAACACATTGATCTATGGCTTATAAAACTTTTTTGGGGGGGGGAAGCTGCAACCTTCATGACTAACTACCATTATCTTTTGGCATACTGAAGTAATAAATTTATCTGTCACTTGATTATTACTGTTCACAAGTTGGTATGGCTATGTTCATTACACTAGAATGAATAATTAATGGCTTGAGATCTCTATGTATCCTGGGGAGAAAGGCCTAGACCTCAGCCTCTGCTGGCACCAGCCATCCATTATAGCTTGACAAATTTACAGATGTGTGGGAGGCAGGCTGGCAGACCACTGGGAAGCCTGGCCCAGCAGAGGCCATGGGACTCATTCATTAGTGAGGCCTATAAAACACTGAGAGCTGCTTTCTGGGTTGGTAATTGGGCTGCTTGACCTCTTCCTCACACAGTCCAGAACGTCATGTTGGGTCTTGACTTAAAACCCATATATAAAAGTTTCTTGTGCATTGCACATTCCACTGCAGGAGTTTGTGCCTTTCAGATCCTTAGGTCTACGTGGACATTTCTGTGGTGCCTTCCCCAGGAACTGGCAGTTCTATAGGCTTCCTTTAAATTTCGCAGAAAAACAGTTCCACATGTGATTTTAACCTGAGCAAGACCCAGGTCCTTTTGTGACCATGGAGTTTGCTGTTATTAGCTGAAAAGCAGTAAGTCTCTTGAAGAACATGCCTTTAGGGCAGTTGTTGAGGGGCTGGAACCCCATGTTCCCAGCACTTCCCTCATGAATTGCAATTAAGGAGAAAAGAGCATGCTTCAAGGAAAATGGCCTTGGCAGAGGGGCCTCCTGCCACCTTTGTCTATGGGGAAATGGGTGGGGACTCTGGATTGGTCTGATGCTCTTTGAGATGCAGAAGGAGGTAAATCATTTCCAGATGAGGATGGTGGTGGGGGAGTGTTATGAGAGGAGGAGACAGAAGTCAATCCCTTTGGGGCTTGTAATGCAGTGCCCCCCATGCTGTCATAGGGATCACATCTGTTTCCTGTGGTTTAAATGAGAGCCATGACTCTGGAAGTGCTAAGCAGTGCTTTAAGTAACAGACTGGTCGTGATGTATTCCAAGAAAGCATAAGCCTAGGGCTGCATTTGCAAATAGCTTCCATCTTGGGGCCTGGAATGCTGTGTCAAGGAGTGTCAAGCCTAAGCCCTGGCTCCACCGGACACGGTGTGGTGACAGGTTAGCACTATGTGCCATGGACTGGATGGGTGGTGTAAAAGCACAGCAACACCTACCCACCTTGCTTTGGTTCAGCTTCCAGTGTTAAATAATGATGTTAATTTACACTTGTAGCATGTTTTAGAGTTTCTAAGGAGTTCTGCAACTATTCTTTATGTTTATTCAACCTTCCTCGTATCTGAAGAACACAGTAGCTCTCAAACTTTCGGACAATGTCCCATGATAGGGAAAACGTTTTCTTACTTAACCTTTCATGAGTACATGCATACATATACACATAAATAGCAAGACACACACACACAAACCAGAAACAAAAAGTTGGGGAATAGTAAGGCTGGTGAATGTTGATATTTTCTCTTCGATCCTTTTTTTTCCTTAACTTACTATTAAAAAAAAAATGAAAGC